AGCAAACGATTAAAAGTTGATACAGATAGACTTGGTTGGTGAGCAAGTTGGATCTAAAGGACCAAGAATAAAGTATTCGAAATGATTTGTCTAGCATTTTGCCTTAACGGAATGGTTTCTGATCAAGGAAAAACAAATTTTTGACCAGTGTTTAGTGGAGTAGTTTCCTTAAATGATAAGATTACTTCTATTTTGACTGACCTTCAAACGGCTGTAGCCTAACCCGGTAAATTACAAACTCTACATGCCTATCACTAAGGAAGTTGCTTAGTCGAGGACTGACTTACCTCCCTCTATCCGAGTGCCAACTAAAGTGATAATATTTGGGTGTTTTCCAGCATGCTTTAATGTCCTTATCTCATTGAGCAGGGCTTTTTCTGCAATAGCATTAGGGCCTACAATTGCACAGAGAAAAGAAAGAGGATTTTTCAAAATACTTAATTTCACGCAGTTAGCTTGTTGTATGTGGCTATGGTAACAGGATAATGATGTGGAAAATGTGGCCCATCCCCTTGTTCGTCGACACATGAGTCAACGCCTCCACAAGCGATGACATTATCACCACCTGCAGTCTTCTCACCCCAATCTGACCTCCCCTCGCCCCCCTGAATCGAATCAGGCTGCTTGCTTCCGTCTGGAGGCTCTCTGTCGCCTAATCCACCTTCGACTGTACACAACAGGGGCATTTCCACCTTAGCGTGTACAAGAAGCGTGTTCAGTTTCAATCATCGTCATACTTCGTTTGAGTTTCCTTTATGATGCGGGATTTGAGCGAGTTGAACTGAAACCTCTTGTACTCTGGATCATCAATCTTATTGCTATTTGATTAGCGCTTGTTTGAAAGGGTTTAAATTTCTTTTATCACGATAATCATTTTAAGGCATCTAGGTAGGAAACTATAACTTTCTACTTTGATTGTATTGCTTCATTAGCCCCAAAAATTGAGCCGCACAAGCTAAGCCTTACAATAAATTCAAATATTAGTATACTGCTACAGAAGATATTTATTGATCCAAAGTGGAGAAAAGAAGAATTTGGGAGAGTAGAATTAGAGAAAGAAATGGGTTTTTTCGTAGCCTCGACATTGTGTGTGTTTGACCAAACAAAACCATAACCTTTTTATTTAAGAGAAAATGGACATATTTAAAAGTCAAATGACGAAAATCTTCCTTACACAACTTCGCTTATACCGGAGTCCAATGGGTTACTGGAATTTACCGCTCTTTGTTAGGGGGAGATGCGACGAGAGTCAAGAGACGCTTCGCATATTCTAAGAAAACCCTTTCTCCTTCCGAGATAGAGCAGAAAGATCAATTGCACTTTGTGAGAATGTGATAACGACCGCAGATCCATATTCCCGAGGTGCAAAAACGTAACTGACCCTAGTTCCAACAGAGATCATGTGACCACCAGTATTAACGAAGTCGCCTTTTATTTACCTGTTCATCACCATTTCTAAGCCGATGCTTCACAAGCACAGTGATTAAACAAATCAAAGCAGCTACCAAAGCACATAATACAGCAATTGTTGTCATCTGAGATGTTGAGGTTTCTTCTCCATCTTTGTGATCTGATGGAACAAAGATAATCATTCTAATAATTAACACACGGATTGAAAACTTTTATAAATGAGTGTCAGCACGAAATAAAATTGCTGTGATACATAATTTTTTTTTTCCAGAATCACTTTTTAGATGGAAGTTAGAGAAAGTAAAAACTATTCTAAAAGCTCAATAGGGGTCAAAATCTACGACATTCCAATTTGAACTTGGGAAGCTCAACCGAGCAAGGCCTTAGTTAAACGGCATAGTCTATCACAGAATAACATTATCCTTCAATAATATGATTATCATGATAATGATAGAAATGATTAAAAATAAAAGCATGAGGAGGAAGAGGATGAAGGAGAATAGAAAATAACATTAAAGAAGTCTAGAAGAGGAAGAATAGATTTTTCAATCCCAGCGTTCGTGATTTTGATCCTTACTTTTCTATTTCCTTCACGAATCAGGGTTGTCAGGATGTAGCGTAGTCTCTTTGTTTTTTCCCTAACTAAATTCATATATATATCTAACCTCTCTTCAATACAGCTACTTCTGACTGACTTCTTCCAATGGTATTATTTGCAATGCAGCGATATTTTCCATAATCTTCCATCTCTACCCCTGTAATCAACAGCTGGCTCGTTCGGTTGTCTTGAATAACTCTTGCTCTGGTGTTAGATTGTACAACATGTGAAGCATCGTCCTTTATCTAATGGATGGTTGGCCTTGGAGACCATTAGCAGTGCAGCTGAAAATGGCATCGAAACCGATGGAGACACTTTGGCTCTTTGGGCCCTTAACAATCTCAGGTAATTGGTCATCTGAAAATGAACATTGAAGCTTTCATCTAAATGAAAGAGCTGTTTTATTGACGGGCGTTCTTTGGGATGTCGGTGCCAGCTTGTTTGGCAT